ACTGAACAAGATTTTAAAAATCAGAATTTTAAAAAATTAAACAGATATATACTATAGAATACACCCTCTATCTTTCCCCCCTAAGAACTATGGAGTCTTATTTTAGATAATTTAGCCTAATTTTTTATTTTTTAAGCAGGTTACCTGAATTCTACAATTTAAGTCTTTTAAACTCTTCTAATTCTTCAATTCATATTTTAATAATTTTAAATGAGACCATTATTGCATAGAGATTATAAGCAATTTTACATCTCATTAACCTTGCTTTGTTTTAATTACAAAGATCCTTTGTTAGATTTCCTTTAAATGATCCAGTTTATAATTTCAGTCTGTCCTAGGGAGTATTTCAATTCAGCCGCACATTCATCAACTGTTTTTGTCCTGTTAATTGTTGACAACTGCAAAATTATGCTCTCTAGCAATGATGATGAATTATATTCCTAAGTTTAGATGTTAAATAGGATAAATATTTATAACACTTTCCACTTAAAGATTCTAACTTCACCTTCACTAAAGCATTTAAGATTGAAATCCTAACACTAGAGAGGATGTATTTTAATTCATATCCCATTTAAATCTTTGAAAATATCAGGTGAAAGAAGACATACTTTTAGGTGCACTAGAGAGACTTTCATGCTACTTACACAGAAGAATTCTCAATATCATATTTTGGGGCAGGAATTCACAAGCCAGATTTATGATAGTAAGAGATCAAAAGAAGAAGGAACACAACCACTGGAGTTACACCACCAGTTCCCATACTAACTGGCTGTGTGACCTTAACCAAATTACTTATGCCCTCTGGGCCATATCACTTCATTTGTGAAATAAGAGGGTTGGAACAGCCAGTCTCTAAAGATCCTTTCCAACTATTAAATTCTTTGAGACTATGAAAGTGGAGCTGTTAACATTTAGTGAACATCAATTTTGCAGCAGGCAGTATAAGGACATGGAAAGGAGCAGAAGACATAGTTCTTTCCCTTACGGAGTATCTAATCTAGCTTGGGAGATAAAATTCAGACTTAATAAACAACTAAGCTGGCAGCAGCATTACTGGCCTCAGTGAAGGAGAATGAATGCAATAGATTCTTATCTTCTGATGGTCCATATTTGCTGTCTTGGGAACAACTATTTGTAAAAAGGATAAAAAGTCCTTGTGGATATAAACTAAGCTGGTCTTTGTTTTCAGATAATCTAGGCATAAAAATTATTATTAATTTGAATGTCTAAAAGACTCATGATTTAAAGGGTTTGGGTGCTCTCACCACAGGAACTGATTTCAATGCTTCTGTTTCATATATCGCCATGGTCAAAAATATATTAACTACAGCCCAATATTAGAGTGATACAGCTCTCTGAACTTCTCTAGGATGATCCTTAGATGAGAAACACATAATAATTTGGTTAAAACTTAAGAACTCCATCTTAGTAAATACCTCCTAGATGAGAAATAGTGTTGTAGAGTGGCTAAAGGGATAGAGAGACTTGGGTAAAGGCCTACTAGTTGTGTGACCACCGTCAAGTTACATAGCATCTCAGCACCCCAGGCAGGCTCTGAATTGCTTATCTGCATAAATTTAGGTAGACCTATACAGGTAATTCCTTGCAGCAGGGCTTACTTACATTGTCTTGTACAGATTGAGAATAAAGGGGTTACACAGCACTTCTCACATAATACTTTAGACCACAAAGTTAAACAAGAAATAGCTGGGCTAAGAAAAAAATCTCCCCAAAGTTTCCTTAATACACATTTAAAAAGAAGAGAAACCTCCATGTTTATACTTGAATTTTCTTTTTTGGTAGGTTGTGATGGAGCAGTAATGGGTGGAATAGTAAAGACATTTGGGACCCAGTGATAAACTAATCAAGTAGATGAGTGAGAAATACATTACTGTTTTTAAAACTGCTTCAACTTCAACTCTGGTTTCAAAAAAAATATCCTTACCACTCTCCTCTAGTCCTTATGGGAATATTTTGAGATATTTATTAGAGTATCAGATAAAAAAAATTTTAAACAACCAACTTCCAAATAAAAATTTAAAATGGAAACCTTAAGCTTTCAAAGCAGTAGCTGGAGTATGTATGGTCCATAGATAAGTTTTCCTATACAACAATTCTCTACACCCTTTCCAGACATCTAAAACAATAACAAATTCTCAATTAGCTTAACAAAAAAATGCCCTGCCTTAAGTTTTAACCTATCTCACTAGCAAAATAAATTTTTATGGAAATTTTAAAATATTTTCATAAAGTTTACAGAAGTCAAGAATTCTGCCTCACTAGTTTAGGGGTTAACAAAAGTGTTTACATACAGCATGGGGGAAAGGAGGCTTTGTAGATGTTCCTACAAAATTCTGAGGATTTTAGTCAACCATAAGGCTAGTATAAGAAAACAGTATGATATAATTGCTAAGAAAGCTAATTTGATCTTTGGCTGCTGAATTAACACATATATAGAGAACCCAAATGAAAGAAACTACTCTTTTTCTGCTGTTAGATATGCTATATAAACAATAATCAATTCACTTTAGGTAGGACTGAAAATTAGAATTCAAGTAGAAAATAAGAGGAAGTTGAAAAGTCTAGAAATCATAACCTTGGAAGAGGTATTAGTACAAGAATCTGGGAAAGTTCAACTTGAAGGAAGGACTAAGGGGAAGACATGGTAAATGCCTGTATATACTTGAAGCAATTTCAATTAGGAGAGAATAGATTTCCATGTTACTTCAAAAGCCAGAACTAAGACCACTAGATGAACATTTTCTTCTCTTTAGAGAGAAAAAAAAAATAACTGGAATTAAAAATTAAATGCTTGCTTCATGATAGTGATTTTCTTGTTATTGGCAATATTCAAGGAGGATGAGCCTCTACCAGAGATGCTACAGAAGTGATTTCTATATTTAGTAGAGGGTTTGAGACAGTATGGGATGTTGGGAAGAGTGCCAGGCTAGAGTTAGGAGAGATATGGTTTTAGATTCCACCTCAAACAGTAGCTATGTTACTATGAACAATTCATTTAATCTCTCTGGGCCTCAGTTTTCTCATCTGTAAAGGAGGGATAATATTTACTCTCAAAACATAAATGTGAAGATAGAATATGACAACATATGTAAAAATACTACAAAAATCTCAATACATTTTATTGTTACTTTAATCCAAGGTTAGGAAGGAGAGTGAAAATCAAATACAAGATCATAATTTCTGTTACTTGTTCCAATTAAAAAAAAAAAAGGAGGTTGAACCTATGGGATAAAACTATATTTTCACAAAACTTCAATGGATTTTCAGTTTTCCATTCTCTTCCTGCCCTGGATCACCACCGAAAGTTAAGGAAGACTATATTGCAGGGCTTTTATGGAAATTCATAGCTAGCAGTTTGAGCCTAATGTTTGTTTTTCAGGGCTTTTTCTCCTTTTTCCTTAATATCCTTTTTTAGATATGCTTGGTGGAAAGTATCACAAGGATTATATATCCCAGCTATCACAAGATTTATTATGATGTGTGTCCTGGATGTTTTTGTGACTTGCAAGGAAGCAATTCAAATCACATATGCACAATCCTATACTTTCCCTTCTCCTGTGTACTATTTCCACTTCCAAAAAATAATATCATCTCATTACTTACATATATTTCCCATCTCTTCTTTTTAGTAATAGGTATCAAGAAATGTACTAGTTTCAAAGAAACAACACTAGCTTTAAAAGTCTATGAAATTCTACTCAGTTTAAGCTCCAAGTGCTCATTACTATGATCATATAGAACATTACTGATTAATAGAAGTGTCTTATAAAGTCATGGGATTATGAACTAGAGGGAATCTTAGAGATAATCTAGTCTTACTTCTATATCTAACACATGAAAAACTGAAGCCAAAAGGGCAATGCATCCTACTTAGAAAATTCAAATGAATTAATATAGCCCCATGAGTTAAGGGACCCGAACTCTTAGCTCAAAACTAAAATATGTCTTCTGCATAACTTTGACTTCAGTTCTACATCTATGAATACAGTTTATAATTTATATCATTTGCCAACCAAAAATAAATTTTGAGGTTATTAGAAGCGATAACATATAAACCAGTGTATAAAATGAACTTATCTTTCTTAAGCCTTTCTCACCCCATTACATTGAACAGAGGTTCTTGTTAAACTTAGACTACACTATAAAGATTTTTAAAAGTTCATAGAATATGATAAATAAGAGAAGGACAATTGGAAGTAATTTTCAGAGAAACAGTCTAGTTTCAAGAAGATAAGTAATCTTGGAAGAAAAATAGCAACAGTGACCAAATGAATGTTAAAGTTTTAATTTTTTAAAAGTGGGTTGTGAAGAATTTAAGTCTCTGGCTTAGAAGCCACACATGTCATAGAGGAGATAGGTACATCTGTTTTGATGTGTCCAATGCCAACTAAGCCAAAGAAAGCCCATTACTAGTCGACTGTAAATAAAGCAATGGAAAATAAGGGCAAACAAAATGACAGGTAAAAGACAGGACATGAATACAAATACAGAGTAGGTATTATTTTTGATGATCAACTTTATGGTAGAAGAATTCAATATTCTGCATGTTTTGGGTACATGACAAACAATCTACAATGTTCAGGTAAAATTAATTCATATCAGTTGATAAAAAAAAATGAGGAAGTATGCAGTAAACACTATGCTCCCCAAACAGATGGAGTGGCAGATGGGTTTACAGATTGGATTCTCTTGATCCTCTGTGTAAAAAAACTTGCTACACAGTGAGATAGTGGCTCAAATCTCAAATAAACCTCATAAACCATTCTGGCCCTTTTGCTTTGTGTAAGGTTTTTGGATAAATAAATGAGCCTAACATTTTATATTTTAATAAAATAGATATACCTTAGCCAGATGCCTGTACAGTAACTCTCATTTAATTTAAAGACTTCTCAAGTCTTTTTGGAGCAGATGGTTAAAAGATATAGTCACCCAAGTTGACTAAAATATAAAATTACTTGTCTAAAAACTTGAATAATTACCTTCCTTCATTGATGAGCTCAATAAATGCAAGTCCTGCATTCTTCTGAATCGAATTTTGCCATTCCTAAATGGGAAAACAAACAAAGCAGAACATGTTTAAAGAAGTAGTAGTAGCAGAATTGTATGAACATATATTTGACTGTCCTGGCTAAGAAGAACTTGAACAACGGAAATGTGTTGGTTGGATGGTCGGGTCTTTTAAACCTCAGCATATGACTTTTTTCCCCAAAATTACTTCAAACTTGATTGGCATAAAACCACACATATGTATAAACGCATACTGTATTTATATTGTGTGCATTACACATAAACACAAAGGCACAGGTGGGCTCTCAGTAAAAACCTCACTCCCAAATGATTAATACTAATTTTTGGAGTCAACATAAGTATTTGGGATTAAAATTAAAGAATTTGATCCAGAAATATCAGTCCAAATGATCATTTTTCATACTTTAACTTCTAATAATTTTAAAGTGAAAAATAAAACACATATTAAATACCTATTTATTTAGAATGGCTAGAAAAGGAAATATTCTGATTATTGTAATATTTTGGTTGGTTGAAATTTATTATATGGTTATCATAACTGAATTCTTTGGGAGCAGGGAAAACATACACTATTAAAACCATATGCCACAAAATTTAACCTTCCTAATGAATGAAGAGGTGATGGGACCTTGGAAGTGCCTCTGGGTCATCATAAACAACTTTTTTGAGGACATCATAGAATCAGTACAGATTCAGCACAATCCTGAGATAGATGTTCGTAATGACCAAATCTACCTCTGTTTCTCTTAAACTTTTCTCTTCCTTTTACTCTTGTATCCATAGTCTTAGTGTAAGACCTCATCACCTTTTGACTATACTACTGCAATAACTTCCTAATTAGGCTCTCTGTTTTTATTTTCTAGGCTGTTTCTACTTCCTATACATTTTATAAAGGGCCACCAAAATAAGGAACAAATATGATGCTAGTCTTGCTACAAAAAAAAAACAAACTTCATTGGTTCCCTCTAGCATAATACAAGGCATTCAGTCTGAAATTAAAAGTCCTCCATAAGTTGGTTACAGCTTATCTTTTCATACTTATTCCATATCACTTCTCAACTATTCAATATCCCAGCCAAATCTGGCCTGTCATTTCCTGAATTTTTTCATTTTCATCTTCTTTATCCTTGTCTTCACATAGACAGAGCTCCGCCCCCCCGAAACAAACTCACTTCTCATCCCCAATGTCTCAGAATCTTCATCTTTCTCCAATCCTCAGCCCAAATGCTATGTAATATACAAAACTTTTCTGCTACTCTGCCTCATCTCCTCCTTCCCCATTACTAGTCTTTTCCTCCTAGAACTATTTTGTATTTATATCTGCTACTTATACCTATCAAATAAAAAATATATAAAATTATAAAACTCAATATTGGTTGGGGCTTATGGAAATTAATAATTGATACATTGCTAGTGACAATATAAATTGGGGAGATATTTGAACAATTTGGAAAGAATTCAATTTAATTCACCAAAAATGTATTAAATGCCTATTCTATTGGGCACTTAGGAGATATAAGGATAAATAATAGTTTTGGTTCATAAAGATTTTACGAGAGAAATAACCTGTAGACATTATAGCCTAACCCCCTACTCGCAGAAATCTGAAGCCTAGAGAGGCAAAGTAACTTGCTCAGGGTCACAAAGATAGTAAGGGACAGAGCACAGAATTAAAAAACATTGGCTGGGAAGGAGTTGGTAAGGATCACAGCATCCACCTAGTCCAACCCCTACCTAAATGAAATCTTCACTATAACATATCAGACAAATAGTTACCCATCTTCCACTTTAAAACCTATAGTAAGGGGGAACCTTGGTTCTCTGATTTTAAATACAGAAAACTTTCTATTGTATCATGATCTAAGAACTATAAACTCCACAAGGACAAGGACCATAATTTTTTCTTTTTTTTTTTTGATGGGGTGGTGGTGATGGTAGTTGTGAGTTAATTGAGGTTAAGTGACTTCACCAGGGTCACACAGCTAGTGTTAAGTGTCTGAGGCAAGATTTGAACTCAGGTCCTCCTGATTTCAGGGCTCTATCTACTGTACCACCTAGCTGCCCCTATAATTTTTCCCTCATTTATTCCCATGGTCTAGCGGTGTACCCTGTATACAATATTTCATTTAAAAATGTTTGTTGAAGAAAGTCAACATGACAGAGTGGACAATATGCCAGATTTGGATGAAAAAGATTAGGGTACAAAACCTGGCTTTACTATTTATCCTACCCGTGTAACTTTGGGAAAGTCACTTCACCTCTGCTGAGTTCTGGGAACCTGGTTTGTGAAATCTTGTCATTTCTACCTCCTCTCTTGCATCTGTCCCATTCTTCTCATCACACTGTCACTTACCTAGTTCTAGCCCTTATCACCTCTGACCTGGACCACAGAAAGGGCTTCCTAATTGATTCACAGCCCTCATGCCAATATTTACTCCATATAATTGCCAGAATGATTTTCCTAAAGTCTGACCATGTAATGACCATGTCTATTAACTCAGTAAACTTGAATGGTCCCCTATTAGTTCAAGGACCAAAACTACTCCATTTGGCATAATGAGCGCTTCTTCATCTGACCACAACCTAAAAAGGAGGAATGTGTAATGAGATTGGAAAGGTAGATTGTCTCTTCTACTATCCCTAAACTTCTACAAAAGCCCTCAACATAAAGCAGGAATGATCATGGGTTCTTGAAAACTATGTTAATGAAGTATAGGTCCAACCCAAGGTAGGAATAAATCAATAAACATTTATTAAATGCCAGCTATGTGCCAGACCTCTTCCTACCTCCCATTAGTCTTTCTTTGCATGAGGTGCATCTCTCAATATAATTTTTCTCCTTTCCCTGTGTCATCTGGAAACAAACCTCTAGCATGGGTCAAATGAGATTTTGTGTCTGTGTCCAAAGACCAACCTAAATTTAACAGGCTTATCACCAGACAGATGATAAAGTTCTTAAAAATTTCATATATCAACTCATGAAGACTACTACTGAGTAAGCCATGAAGGAATCTTGATTTGAGTCCATGAAGAGAGTGTCCACCACAACATCATAAATGCAATAAAGCACCAAAGGAAGCTACCTTGTATACTGAATTTGAAGAAGATTTACAAGATTTTTGCAAGTAGTAATAAAGGAAGTAAGAAAATCTAGGACTTTAAGGGTTGCATTCTATTGTCACAGGGTCCATTCTTGCACCATCTTTCTTATTTTGATAAATTTGTACGCAGAGCATCACAAATGTGTATGGAGGCTAAGGTATTATGTGAAGTACCAAACTGCCATTTACTGATAATCGTGCCTTTTATTCTTCTTTTGGAAGAACCACAGAACAAATACAATTTTTCTTTAACTTCTTCAATTAACAAAAATTATTTGGGCTACATTTCTAAAATGGCATTATAACCATTAAAACATTTAGACATGTTCCAATTAAAGTTAGAGTAGTTTTCTCTTCTTGCACTCCTGTAAATGATGTGTGTGTGTGTGTTCTTTACAAGTTAAAAGGACTGACCTGATATTATTCATGAAATAAAGCTAGCTTTTCTCCTTCAGAAAACTAGCAGAATTTAATGTGGTTTTTCAGCTTTTAAAAATAAAATAAAATCTAATGACAAAAATAATATCTAATGACAAAAGCAGAAACAGTAAAGCTATTCCATTTCATTCATATTCATAAAAACCTTAAACTGAAGCCTCTAAGCACTTTATATAGCAGGAGAATTACATATGGTACAAAAACACTGGAAAAATGAGTAAGGAGGCAGAACAGCAAAGTTAGAAACAAACAGGAAGGAAAAAGGTTATAACTAAAGAAAAAGAGCTGGTAACACCTCCTTTTGTTTCCTATGGCTAAAGAAAACTTTTAGGACCTCATCCTTACAAGAGTGGGTAATACAAAGCCCATGGCTTGATGACAGCAAAAGAACAATACCCATACCTGCCAATCAAACAGAAAAGGAAAATACCTTTTAAAACTACAAACAGGGAGTAGAAGTCCTCATCGACACTTTCAATTTTTATTCTAGCTCTACTTAAGAGAAAATATGTTTATTTTTCCTATTACATGTTACTTTCTGGTAACAGCTTAGAAAAAGATGAACTCTTTCAAGTTATTATATTATTAATTTCATTTTTCTCTCATAGCCTAAATAAACATACATATCAAAGTTCTTAACTATCACAAAATAATGGTAATTGAGTAAATTTGGATTATGATACACACATTTCTCTTCAAGCAGGTCAACTCTTTGGAACTTACATGATAAGATTTGCCATATGTATAACATAGCAAAACTCAGCAGTTAAAATCACTAAATAGTCATACTAGACATTATATATATATATAATGCCTTAAGGTTTGTAAAGTGCTTTACATTAATTTTTCTTAGTTGGTCCTCACCACAACCCTTTGAGATAGGTGTTCTCTCCATTCTACAGATGAAGAAAGCACGGCTAAAAGAAAGTCACTGACTACCTCAGAGCCACAGTTAATAAGGCAGAACTGACACCAGTCAGGTCCTTCTGGCTTCTGGTTTGGCACTCACACCACTCTGCCACTCAGCTATCTGTACAAAGTGTTCACAGGACTTTGACTTAAAAGTGAACTTTAGATATCATTTAGTAATAGACTTATAGGATGTCAAGGCTGAAAGGTGTATTGAACATAATCTAGTTCAAGATCTTTATTTTATGGATGGGAAATGTCAAATTACTTGCCCAAGGTCACATGAGGAGTAATTGGCAGAATCAGAATTCCAGGTCTTTTCTAAATTCAAAGTTTTTTCCGCAAGTATTATGCCCCTTCATGACTGTATTGCTTTATGGTGCGATCAATTACTCATGTTCACATTTGCTTGTACAAAGTAATTTTACCCATATAACACCTTAAAGTTAACAAAGTGCTTTCTTTCCCTTATAAATTATCTAATCTGACCTTCACAAAAATCTCGTGGGCTTGGGTAGGGCAAATTATATCCATATTTTATAGCCGAGGAATATAAAGAAACGAGAGG